GAATAAAGTAATGGGTAAAAGTAAATTAGCTTTGTGTTTTAAAGATGTGGCTGAAATAGGAGGATAGAGGAAAGTTTGGGACGAGCCTGGGATATACAGTGAGTTCCAGGCTAGCTGGGGCTACATATCAAGACCCTATCTCAAAAACCAATTGGTTATAAAATGGTCACAAACTAGATGTAGAAGTCACGCCAACAGTAGTGTGGTATGTTGTTTGAGGTGAGAAGTAGTGGTGGCCCAAGCCACAGTAAAACAATGGCAGCGAACCAGAAGACTGGCATATTAGGCCAGCATTGACTATAATTGGAATCATAGGGGGTGGATCTGGAGAGTGTATAGATTGAGGAGGTCCTGCACTGCTTTAGGAATGGCTATGAACTTTTTGTTTGTTTTTCGAGACAGGGTTTCTCTGTGTAGTTTTGGTGCCTGTCCTAGATCTCACTCTGTAGACCAGGCTGGCCTTGAACTCACAAAGATCCACCTGGCTCTGCCTACCAGTGATGGGATTAAAGGCGTGCACCACCACCACCACCACCACCACCACCACCACCACCACCACCACCACCACCACCACCACCACCACCACCACCACCCTGTGGCTATGAATAAGGAGATGTAAATTAAATGCTGGTTTGAATACCACCTCTTACAATGTCTCTGAATCAGATTTGCCCTAAAGTTTTTTTTGGTGCTGTGTTAAAACCATGTGGTTTATGAATCATCATCTCAAGACCTGTCCAAGCCCAAGGCTAAGTATACTTTGTCTTGTCTTCAGCAAACAGATGCTGTGGTAGTAGCATGGGCACTGCCACCAGCTTCTTGTTTTTTCTCCTCCCTCCTATCAGGTGTCATTGGGATTTTATGTAATCTGTGGGGAGGGTTGAGGTAGAAGTTTCTTTTGTCCTTAATGGTCTGTTTCTCTGCAGGTGGATTGCTCAGGTTATGAACTAGAGCACTTACACACCAAAGTGACTTCACTGTGCAACCGGATAGAGCAGATTCCATGTTACAATGCCAAGGACCGCCTGGCTCAGTCAGGTAAGCACAGGGGCTCTCCTTGCTTGTGGCTTACCTCCTGTCTTATGACACCCCACATCAGTGCCGTGTGGTCAGCACTCACTGTGGTTTTCTCTCTAGATATGGCCAAACGTGTAGCCAACTTGCTTCGGGTAGTACTGAGCCTGCAGCATGCTCCTGATGCCACTTCCAACTCAACACCAGACCCTCAACGCGTCCCTTTGCGTCTGTTGGCTCCCCACATTGGCAGGCTCCCCATGCCTGAGGACTATGCCTTGGAGGAGCTTCGTGGCCTTACACAGTCCTACCTGCGAGAACTGACTGTTGGGAGCCAATGAACCTAGCTCTTGCCATCACACTCATGCCCATTCATACTCACTACACAGCAGTTTCTAGCATTGTTTTAATTGACAGTTTTCCAATTTCAGGGTTGATGTGGAATCCTCCCTCCCTTTCTGCTGCCCTAAGCAGCATCCACTAGTTGTTCAGGGTTTTTCCTAATACTGAACATAGCATACAAGGGCTTTTGGAACAGCAACAAACAAACAAACAAAAAAAACCACAGGTCTCCATTTACCAACTTCAAGACTATTTGATTTCTTTTTCTTTTGAAAAATGGTCAATAAAACCTCTTTGGCAGAACCTCCCAAAAAAACAGGGAATTCTTTTCCACACCAAGTTCTGAGTCTTGTGACACACACACCCTATGCCAACGTCTAACCTACACCGCTGCAGCTCTTCTGTATCATTGCTGTTTGAAAAGACTGAGACAAGTGACAAGACAAATGTCTGGTAGATGACTGACTGTCCATCCCTGATGCTTGTCCCTGAAGATTTCTTAACAGTGAGTGTGGGAGTCAAAAGAGGGTTGGACCTTGTTCTTTGACTCATTGAAGATAGAAGGGCTGTCTGCTATGGAAGCAGAGATCTTAAAGGCTCTTTGGTTCATGCCTCGTATATCCTATGGACACTATACCTGCCCTACTATCATGTGCAGTGGCCTCAAACCACAGAAAACATGTCTCTGGGAAGCCCCTGATTTATCAGTCATCTTCCTGGATTTGCCAGAGGAGTTTGGATGAAGAATGTGAAAGGTGTTCCTCTCAATCCTCCCATCTAGCCAAGACCATTTCCCACCTTTCACCCACACTCCCAGAAGGTAAAACGGTCACTAAGACAGGTCTGGCTGGGCCCTGGGGGCAGGCCTTCACCACATTGCTGCTGGCTGTGGGGAGTCCCAGGCTCTGGCCTGAGACAGCTGATGTTTGGGGCTGTCACAGACAATATGGCCACTCCTGGATCTTTATGCATGAAGATTATGTAAAGGTTTTTATTAAAAAAATTATATATATATAAATGATCTAGATTATTTTCCTCTTTCTGAAGCTACTTTCTTAAAAAAAAAATAAAATGAAATGTTTATAGTATTCTTGTATTCCTCTTTGTGTTTTGGGGGACTCTGGAGATTCTTTATCTAAATGTAAACATCTTAAGTTACAGAGAACAGAGGGTTAAAGAGTTAGTTCAGCAGGTCAAAGCACCAGCTACACAAGCCTGACAACCCAAATTTAGGATCCATGTAAAAAGCCAGATGTGGGGTTGGGGATTTAGCTCAGTGGTAGAGTGCTTACCTAGCAAGTGCATGTATTGTGATCTAGCCTGGAGAAGGCGTCACAGCTGCAGGTACTAGAGACTCTGCCTCAGGAGGAAGGCCATAGGCCAACCCCAAAAGTTCCTGACCTCAGGCACACCATGCGATTCACAAATAATGTTTTGAACAGTTAGTGCTGCACTGAGATTCAGAGGAGCCCAAACACTTTTTTTTCCTTGCAGTAGTGGGAATTAAACCCAGGGTCTTTGCATGCTAGGCAAGATCTCTACAGTTGGCTACCTCTCAGCCCTGTGGGAGCCCACAGAGGCTTCCTAGTAAGAACTTACATAGGGTCAGAATCTGAGCTTGCTTTACCCAGCAGGGCTACATAAGGAGATGACTTGGCCACGGATGTTTACCAGGTGTTTGGAAGGGTCTACACTTGGCTGTATGGTGTGCTGTAATCTTGCAAGGGGGAGGTCTTTTGCCTCACCCTTTGGCATATTATTAAAAGCCCTTTTGACTAAACCTCAGGTCTGTTGGGTATTGACTCGGCCCCTCCCAAAGCTATCCTGTGTTTCTGTCTTCTTGTCTAGGTCTCTAGTATTTTCTTATCCCTCTCTCCTCCACCTAAGAACCCACACAGCCCAAAGGCTTTTGCAAGGCCAGATTTAGGGAAAGAAAGTTACTAACTAGTAAATACAAATTTATGCACATAGATTCTGGGTTCAAATTGTTCCACTGAATATACTTTCTATTCAAAGCTTTCTGCTGATGATTGTTTTAAACCATGAGTCACTCCTTCGTAAAGGCAGTAATGATCCCTGAACTGGCTGTTTTACGATGGCCTGTTTTGAGGATCAAAAGTCTACTCGTGTATTGTTGAACTGAGGCGTGAGCAAATTCCAGGTAGATTTAAACCAAAGACATGCAACATCACAGAATTAGATAAAAGAACAGTGTGTCTGCCTTGTCTGAGTCTTCAGTTTGGACCCCTGAGGCCAGAGGTTAGCCAGAGATGTTTTTCAAGAAGCTTGTGCTACAGAAATGGCTAGTGGTTTTAGGAGCATTAAGGATTATTGGTATGGGAAGTACTTACTCTTAGGACAAGTACTATTTCTATTAGTAAAGAAAAGGAAGGCTGGGCTGGGGAGGGGTGTGTGTGTGTGTGTGTGTGTGTGTGCACGCTTTTAATCCCAGCACTCGGGAGGCAAAGCCAGGAGGACCTCTGAGTTCTAGGCCAACCTGGTCTACAGAGTGAGTTCCAGGACAGGCTCCAAAACTACACAGAGAAACCCTGTCTTGGGGGAAAAAGGGGGGGGGGGGAGGCTGGGTTGTAGTTCAGTTGTTAAGAGTCCTTGCCTACCATGCATGAGGCTTAGGGTTCAGTTCCCAGCATTGCAGAAACAGCATGGTAGTGTATGCCTGTATCCCAGCACTTGGGAGATGGAGGCAGGAGAGTCCAGAGCTCAAGGCCATCCTTGACTATTGGGACTTCAAGGCCAGCAAACTGGTGAGCACATACTTGCAATCTCAAATATTTGGGAGGTGGAGGCAGAAAGAAGTTGGTCATCCTCTGATACACAGGATTCTGAAGTGTGTGCCTTCTTGACTGTATAATCCTCACTCTAACCCTTAGCCTCCAATCCCTAACTTTAACCATAACCAGCCCCTCCCTCCTGCCCACAGTAAAGTATTAGCCTGGAGTGGCTGCAGGGACTGAGGAAATGGTGTACGCTGCATACCTGCTCCACAGGACCATCTGGAGTGGTCTAAGACAGCACCCCTCTAATGAGGAGGGCAGAGTTAACCTGGCACAAAACACCAGGGTCTAAGGTGTTGAGTCGCTCCCTGGGAGGAAAGCTGCTGGATCTAAAAGGAGCCTCCAGAATCCAAGCAATGAATGTAGCTGAGCTGGGACGCACAGTTCTCACCCACAGGCCCCAGCCCCATATACCCTTAAAGCCTCAAGTTTTGCACCTGCAGATCCTATTGTCTCCAAACTTCCCAGCCCCCAGGATGGGCCTTCATGCTGGTTCACAGAATTTGAATAATTTAGGGCCCAGCACCCTCCTCCCTCGGGTATCCATTTCAGTTGCTCTGTCCCCATGGGCACCGATACGTCAGCCCTGCAATTAAGCTAATAAAATGGTCAATGGAAGAAGGGCCGCTCTCCTCTCCCTCAGACCTCAGTGGGTGCTGAGAGAGTTCTTGGCCCTGCTCTGCTGAAAGCAGCAGGCTCACTCAGAGACCAGGTACAGGGGATGGATTCGGGGTTGGGGGAGGAGGGGTTGGAGGGGGAGTGGAAAGAAAGGAGAGTTGAGAGGCAGACACCAAGACTGTCACAGAGGAAGAAGCAAGTTGAGACAGGTGAAAAAAAAAAGGGGGGGGGGCACTGGCCATACAGAAGGGCAGAAGCTGAGGCCAGAGAGGCTGGGAACAGCAGCAAGGGAGAAACCACAGATGCCAGGGGCCAGGTATAGAATTGAGGGCAAGTAAAACAGGCTGGAAGGAAGACCTCAGTCTCTGATTTCCAGGTACTATACACATCAGCCAGCTGGACCTGTTGTCCTACGTCTGTCCTGAAAACTTGCCCACCCTCTGGCTGTGGTAGGGCCATGGAGACCAGGAGCCACCACCTCGGCCTGGGATTTCTGCTCCTGCTCTCTCTCCCTGCAGGTATGAACCAACCCTCTTCTGACACTGCCCTGCTCCTGTCTGCCTCAAACCTCCACCTTTCTCCTCAGTGCCTGCTGAGAACAAGCTATCTGGGGAATGTGGAGGAGGGGATGCTGAAGAGAAAGAAAGGAGACTTGCCTGATGAGATGGGGTGATGGTGGTGGGCAGTAACCATGTAAAAAGCCGGGTGTGGCCATAAACACCTCTAACCCCAGTGCTGTAGGGACCTGAGCCAGGAAGACTGCTGAAAAATGGCAAGTTGTAAGTTCAGTAAGAGACCCTGTCTCAAGAGAATAAGGTAGAAAGTGACAGCCAGACATCCAATGCCCTCCTCTGGCTTCTACGCATATCTGAACACACATGAGCAACACACACACACACACACACACACACACACACACACACACACACCCTACCACCAAAAGCATGGGAGACCATGAACCAGGCCATAAGGCTCCAGGTGGGGGGTGGAGGATGCAAACAGCGGCCCCTGAACTGCAGTCAAAGTGGACAACCTCATTCATCCTCCAGAATGCCTGGGAGCCGAGGGTAGACTGGCTCACAAGCTGTTTCGTGACCTGTTTGTCAACTATACAAGTGCCCTGAGACCTGTGGCAGACACAGACCAGACTCTAAATGTGACCCTGGAGGTGACATTGTCTCAGATCATCGATATGGTATGATGTGGTAGTGGTGTAGCTCTGGGATGCGGATCAAGGGAAGAAGGATCATCTCCTAGTTATCCTTTTCCTATGTGTTAATATTAATGATGATAATAGCCATTTATTAATTCCTGTGTACGCATTGGTGGCCCAAGACTTTACATGCTGGAATTTATTGAACTCCCCTCTCCCCAAGCAGGAATTATCTGAGGGATGAACTGATGAAATGGAGACTTAAGAGCCCACCAAAGTCACACAAGTTCAAGCCTGGGTGGGAATCGGGCTGTTAGAGCAAGCTGGGTTTGTGGGTACTCACCAGAGAGGCCCGTGTGTGCATGAAGAAGGCAGTGTGTGTATATACATGCATGTCCATTGCCTGTCCCTGCTAGGACGAACGGAACCAGGTGCTGACCTTATACCTGTGGATCAGGCAGGAGTGGACAGATGCCTACCTACACTGGGACCCCAAAGCCTATGGTGACTTGGATGCAATCCGCATTCCCAGCAGTCTAGTGTGGCGGCCAGACATCGTACTCTACAACAAGTATTGCCTGTCTGGCCCCTTCTCCTCTTTAGAGTTGCCCATCTGCCCTTGACATGCACTGAGTCTCCTCCCAACACCTAATAGAGTTGCTAAGATGCCTTGGAAACTTGCCCCTAGGGCCACCTGTAAGGAGCCTTTCACCTCTCAGATGGCACTTTCAGTGATCTCAGGCCAGCTCAAGCTGGATGTCTGCAGGTTTGGAACCCGCTATGTAGTCCAAGCCAGTTATAACTCTCAAGGAGAACTGTCTTGAGACCAAGTGCTTCTCTATGGCAGGTCCACCCTTCCAGGCTCACCAGCCTACGGCCTAGTCTTTTGGGGTACTTCTTTATGCCATCTTTAGGTTCTTTGCATCTCCTAGACAATACATAGCATTGTGCATCTTTCTGGGTCCCTCTAATGAGTTTTACAGATGACTCCCTAGGTCAGTGTGAGGCTCAATTCCACCTCTGGTTTGCAGAGGCTTTTTATACTCAGCTCCCGGCCCTTCCAAGTTCTTAGCTGCCTCCTCTAGACCTTAAGATTGACCTGAGTTTAGTGAGCCTAATGAGGCTCACTTCACAGTGCTGCCCTAGACACTAAAGCCTGACTAGTGACAATAGATCCACCCTGTTCCTGGGCCCCGGTAAATCCTGTCCTGCCTGTCCACAGGGCAGACACGCAGCCACCAGCCTCGGCCAGCACCAACGTGGTTGTACGGCACGATGGCGCCGTGCGCTGGGATGCACCAGCCATCATACGCAGTTCGTGCCGTGTGGACGTGTCTGCCTTCCCGTTCGACGCACAGCGCTGCGGCCTGACCTTCGGCTCATGGACGCACGGCGGGCACCAGCTGGACGTGCGACCCCGGGGCGCGTCTGCCAGTCTGGCCGACTTCGTGGAGAACGTTGAGTGGCGCGTGCTGGGCATGCCGGCGCGCAGGCGCGTGCTCACCTATGGCTGCTGCTCTGAGCCCTACCCAGATGTGACCTTCACGCTGCTGCTGCGCCGCCGTGCTGCCGCCTATGTGTGCAACCTGCTGCTGCCCTGTGTGTTCATCTCCCTGCTGGCGCCACTGGCCTTCCACCTGCCCGCTGACTCCGGGGAAAAGGTGTCTCTGGGCGTCACCGTGCTCCTGGCCCTCACCGTCTTCCAGCTGATTCTGGCCGAGAGCATGCCGCCTGCAGAGAGCGTGCCGCTCATCGGTGAGCCTGAGAGCATGGGCGAATGGACACTGAGCCAGCAGTGACAGCTGCAGGGGGTGAGAGAGGAGGCCAAGAGTAGACCTATCTGAGAGAACACCCCTCACCGCTAGGGGCGCGAAGGAGCCTTAGTGAAGGAAGATCTGGTCCCCATCTCATAATAAACAAACTGTATGCCTGGTATTCTCCTGTGCACTTGACATTTGTTCACTCACAGGAGTATCACTATGAACCCATGAATAACCAATAGGTTATTCCAGGTGTACAGAAAGGATCAGTGCCTGTTCAGCTTACAACCATAATCTGACCCCTCCTCCACAAGCAGGGAAAATAATTAGGTAGCAGATATCTTCAGAACCCTAATAGGAATGAGAAGAGGGGAGAACTTAACTCTTATCTATGTCCTTCCCCTCATTGGATATGAGGGCCTGGTGCTGGCCTTCTATTTGTGATGAGGCAGCTGGGAAGCTCAACAGTCTTTATTTCTTGTTTGGGGCTCACAGTGTTCTCTGTCCCACAGGGAAGTACTACATGGCCACCATGACCATGGTCACGTTCTCCACAGCACTCACCATCCTCATCATGAATCTGCATTACTGTGGTCCTAGTGCACATCCAGTGCCTGCCTGGGCTCGGGTCCTCCTGCTGGGACACCTGGCCAGAGGCCTGTGTGTGCGGGAACGAGGGGAACCCTGTGGGCAGTCCCGGCCACTAGAATCAGCCCCCAGCCTCCAGCCTCCAGCTGGTCTCCCAGAGGGGCCTTGTCATGAGCCACGGTGTCTATGCCATCAGGAAGCCCTTCTGCATCACGTGGCTTCCATTGCCAGCACCTTCCATAGCCACCGGGCTGCCCAGCGCTGCCATGAAGACTGGAAGCGCCTGGCTCGAGTGATGGACCGCTTTTTCCTGGGCATCTTCTTCTGCATGGCTCTGGTCATGAGCCTACTGGTACTGGTACAAGCCCTGTGAGAGCCAAGAACTGGATCTTAGGGAGCTGTGGTCACCTCAACACTACCAGGCAGGAATGACAAGACCCAGGTGGTTGTTGGTATTCAGATAGGCTAGCTAGTCTCTCCCCAGAGTCAGGAAGACCTCTTCAGGACCAGCACTTCTGACCTCACAGTCCACAAACAGCCTTTGTGAGCTACCTGTCCTAAATAAGGGGGATCCAAAGCCGGTTTCTCCCTTAATTCCAATATGATTAAGGTCAAAGTATAGACTTGGAGAATAAGACTTAATGTCAGTTGAGCAAGCTGGTGCTCTCCCGTAATTCCAGCACATGGAGGCTGAGGTAGGAAGATTGCCATAAGTTCAAGGACAGCCTGAGCTCCGGAAAATTTTATCTAAAAAATAAATAACCATCTGTGTCTACACTTGGAATGATAGTTGTTAGCTGGGAGAATCCATGTTATTTTTATTTTGTTGAGAGAGTCTCACGATGTACCCCCTGCTGGCCTGGAACTTGCTATGTAGCCCAGGCTGGCCTTGAACTCACATAGACCCACCTGGCTCTGCCTCTCCAAAGGCAGGTGCTACTGCTGGCTAGAGTGTAAGTTACTGACTGAAAGGACAAAGCTCCACCTCTGCTGTCACAGATCCTCATCTTGTTTATCTCTGCTAAGGCGCTCGGGAAGGAAATTCACTGCCTAGTTTGTTTCCAGAACAGAAAGTAGTGCAGAGTTTTGTCTCAGAATTTGTCTCCATAATAAAGGAGAGTGGTCCCAGCACCTCCTCCGTGTCCTGTCTTTTCCTTGGGGCCACATCCAGAAGTTGGGGATCCAGGTTTGTCTTTATAGATAGGAATCTCAGGATTCACAGATCAATGCAAAAATTATATCTTTTTAAAAATCATATTTATTTGTTTTAGTGTGTGTGTGTGTGTGTGTGTGTGTGTGTGTGTGTGTGTGTGTGTCCTTGTGTACCAGGGTACATTTGTGGAGGTCAGAGAACAATGTGGGTAGCTGGTTCTCTCCCTCTGCCATATGGGACCCAGGGATCAAACACAAGTTATCAGGTTTAATGACAAGTACCCTTGCTGAGCTGCTGAGCCTTCTCGCCAGCCCAGAAATGACCTTTCTGGTAACAACAGCAGAAAAAAAAAATCGGCCTTTCACAGGACCCTGAAAGAGGGCCTAAAACTTTCTCCTGCTGTCCATCCTTGTAGTTAGACACAGCCACCCTGTTCTCACTCGCTGACATGAGAGATCTTAAAAGTGGCCCAGGTGAGGGTAGGGCAGGGATCACCACTCACAGGATTGGTTGCTTTCTCGCTGTCACACAGCTTCTGGCACTTTCTTTGTGCCTTCTTCCCAGTCCTTACCCATTAGAGGCTCACAGCCTGACCTGGGGAATACTCAGGGACCAATGGAAATGGAGAGGCAGGTACTCTAACCTAGCCAGGTGGCAGAAAAGTGAACAAGAACTTTCCAGGTAGACTTGGGAGTCGTTTAAGTGACCCTGCCTGGTCCCATGGCCAAGTATTCTCCCCCATCATCTCCCACTCACAATGAGTTGAAGTCTTCTTGCTCCAAATGGGTCTGTGCCTGTCCCAGAGTCCTCTGACTTCCAGTCAGTCCCCCTCCTGCAGCCCTGAGTGAGGTTCAGCCTCCAAATTCTCTTCTGTGTCTCCGCCGGCAACGGGTCTGGAAGGTCATTACCATAGAAGGTCCCAGAGTTCCCTGCAGATAGACTGATTCACCAGGATCTTGCTATAGTTAAAGCGCACAGGTGACCAACATTCTTCAGGCAGGGCCGGTCAACATCTGGTAGGTCACAGGAGGCCTGCATTCTCTGGAAGAGCCCTCAGCACAAGGAACCAGAGCAGCAGCAGCCGCCAACAGGAGGTGGAGATGGAGCCCGGGGCTAAGGGAGGAAAAGAGATTCAGGAGCAGTGTGAGGACATGGAGGTGAAAGGCAAGAGAATGGCCCATTTGAGGCCAGCCTGAACTACACACGAGTTCTAGGACAACCTGGGCTACAAAGCAAACTCCCCTGTCTCAAAAACAAAACAGAAGGTCTGGTTTGAAGTTGGAGACTCAGCTTCTGGTCACTCTGCTGCCTTGGCCAAGTCTCTGGTCTCACTTTGCTACATGAGGACAGTGTCCCAGGTTTTACCAGTAGACTGCTGTGTGGCTGGGGGTAGGGATTGTCATAGTGGGCAGTTCACAGTTCACCTCTGCAGCCAGGCTACAGACACGATTCCTCACTAGACGTGTGGTGAGGGATTGGTTGCTACTTTCTGCCCCCTGTAAAAGTGGTTGATGCTGAGCAAGGTGGTGCACATGCCTTTAATCCCAGCACTTGGGAGACCGAGGCAGGTGGGTCTCTGTGAGTTCCAGGCCAGCCTGGGCTACCAAGTGAGTTCCAGACCAGTCATGGCAGCACTGAGAAACCCACTCTGGAAAATAAATAAATAGTAATAAACTGTACCAGTGCCATTGAACTGTGCTGAGGATTCATGGTGTAAAGAGCCAGGACTCCTAGTACAATTATGTCAGGAAAAGTGGAAGGAACAGAGGCTGAGTATCTTTCCTGCCTACTGGTTACAGATCCTAGAGGGAGGGAGCATTGGGGATGGAGCAGGAAGTGTGGCTGGGAGCTTCGAGGGGATGGGGGGCAGTTAATTCTTCTTTGGAAGTGGCCCATTCCCACCTAAATGAGCAGTGGCCCAGGTAAGCCCTGGCACAGCAGGTGTATAAGAGAAGACCCACAGCCGAGAGAGATACAGGTGTCTTTTGATCCTACTTGCTTATTACAAACTAGGAAACTGAGGCACAGGGAAAGAATCGTTAAGTCAGAGCCCAGACTAGAGTACAGTCACACTGCATCCAAGAGTTGGCTTTGACCTTGGAAAGCAGGTCTGAAGGAGCCCCGAGGGCAGCAACAGGGACACTGGGTTTGCAACCAAAGAAAAAGGCCCAAGGGAGAACACTGCAGGGAACCGCCTCGGCAGCCTGAAGCAGGGCCTGACAGCCTCCTCTGAGAGGGGCAGATGCTGCCAGGGCCACCACACACACATACACATCCTCTACCAGGGTCAGCAACTCCCTTCTTAGATAAAGAGGAGGGTTTATGAGAATAAGAGGGGAGTCTAGAGAGGGTCCAGTCCCGGGACAGCCTGCTCAAAGGACTTCATCTCTTACCTGAGCTATCCAGCCAGCAGGGCCCAGATCTGCACTTCTTTTCTGAAAGGAAGAACGTGGAATCAATGCTTCAGTAGCTCTCTGACTGCAAAGGACCCTCAGAGCTCTGATGACCAAATCTTGACTCTCTGTAGTCCTGCTCCCTCAGGGAGGACCTCCCTAGATCACATTCACTTGACCTGAGTCCTGAGGACAGAAGGGAGGCAGCCATGGAAGCCAGGATCTCGTTCTGGCCGGCTCCTGCGCTCTGGCCTGTAACTGCCTCCTCACCGCATTCCCAGCTCACTTTCCTGTGCCCTGTCCCAGACAGGGAGGCGCTGGTTTGTGTCCTTGGCCTGCCTTCCTCATGGCTCCTGATGCCGTTCAAAGTCGGAACTGAGCCACATTGTACCTCCTCCCATTTCCGCCATGGTCACCGTGCAGGCCAACTGTCTGCCTCTGAACTATGAAAGCGAGGTCTCACTGAGCTAGGAGCAGTAGTCCACAGCCCACCAGGGGTTCAGAACAGGTCTCCTTGTTGTTCTTCCTCTGGCTTGACAGTGGACCGAGCGGATGGAGGAGGAACAGCTGACATGCTCCTGACCACAGGTTGGCACAGGTAAACTGGAACTTAGAGGCACAACATTGACCTCCCCTGCCCAGCATAGGCTACTGCATATAATTCCCATTCTATCTGGTAAAACTGTAGCTCTCAAAAACTGAGCTTGGGACTTTTGCTCAATTATTTTCCTTAAACTTTATTTGTTATTAGCGTGTGAGAGATGGGGGAGGGGTATGTGGAGGTCAGCGAAAGCCCTGTGGAGTCAGTTCGCTCCTTCAATCTTTATATAGGTTCTGAGGACTGAACTGGAGAGGTCAGGCTTGCGCGGCCAAACTCCTTCACCGGCTGAGCCATCTACATGTTCCCCTTTTACTTAGTTCCGCCAACAAATGTCTTGGTGTCAATACTGTGACTGCAAAATAATTCCTTTCCAGCTTCCAGCTGGGACAACACCCGGATCCGGTTGTGCCTGTCCTTTCAAAGGCCCTGGCCGCCTCTCCTCCATTCCTGCAGGTTTCTGTACCCACCACCCCTCCCAACTCCCATCGCCGTATCACAGGTGTGAGCCACCAGGCGCTTGAGCCTTTTATCATTTATGTATGAATCCCTTGGCTGGAGCAGGGGCTGGGGCTTAGAGTTGCCAAAGCTCCTGGCAGATAGGGAAGCCCATCTTTTTGTAGGACTGGCTGGCCTTGCTCGCTCCTCACCTTTGATGTATTCGCAGTTGTATGTGCTACGTTTGCCCAGAGCGCGGAGATAGATGCGTGCGGGACCCTGGGCAGGTCGGCTGGAGTTGACCACCTGGAAAGTCTCAAAAGGGGGGATCAGCACCTCCTCCTCTCCAGGGAAAAAGGAGTAACCCCTGATCGGGGCTCCGAGGCAGGTCCAGATACCAAAGAAGGTGTCCTCGCCAAATTGCTGGGCGGCAACGTTCTTGAGGGACGCGGAAGCAAAGCCTCCCAGCCTAACGGTGGCGCCGGGCCCCGCTGGCCGGAAGCGCAGGCCATGCACCCCCCTGTACACCTGCCGGCACCCGCGAGATCGCTGGCTCCCGAGCAGCTGCAGGGCCTCGGTGAGCAGGAAGTGGAGGGTCTTGAAGGAGAAGCGGTGGAGGTAGTGTGCCCGGGAGCGGCCCGCCTCGCGCACAGCCGCGTTGAACTCCTTGTGCAGGGGGCTGTTGGCAGTGTAGGCCAGGAGCGCCACCCCGTGCTCATCTCGGAAGCCCGGGGGTGAAGGGGGCAAGGGGGTTGAGCTGAGGCCCCACGGGGTTGACCCCCAGGCCTTGCGCTCCTGCCATTGGGTGTTGGCCAGAGTCCAACCATCCGCGTACACTTTGTTGGCCTGGAACTCGGAGTGGTTGAGATCTGGCAAAGCCGCTGCCATGGCCGCGGCACAGCCCGCATACTGGTCGTCAAAGGACGCTGGGGCCATGTCCAGGGGTGTTTCTTGAGAAAAGATGTCTAGATGTGTGACGGAGTGACTTTGAACCTGAGGGCAGGGGAGCATCAAGGACTGAGAAGGTGGTTGGTCCCTAGGAAAATGGGAGCCCAGTCATCCAGCTTCCCCCTGCTTTGAGAAAGGGCCTGTCTACTGAGAAAGGCAGAAAGAACCCCAAATACATCCGGAGGGGAAGGGGATTGGGAACCACCAGCTGCAAGCTCCCCAGACTAGGTTTTCAGGAGTGGCCTAGGAGGGAGAGATGGGTTCCCAGGGACACGGGACATTCTTCCCTCTGCTTCCCTTCCTACTGGACATGGAGCTGGTGGATGATGATCATACCTGAAGTCCATCCCTGAGGCCCACAGACACCAGCAGGAGAGACATCATGGCTGGAATCTTCATGTTGGAGGTGACCCTGGACAAGCTGCCGTCTCTTGTTCCTCATCTGGAAAATTGGGATGTTAATCTCTACCCCTTAGTAAACATTAAGTGACAAAGGGGTAGAGGAGTCACACAGCCTCTGGATCCCCTGAGGGTGGTCACACTGACCCACAGTGGCTCTAAGAAGGAGGCCCGGCCTCCGGTCAGGACAGGAACAGCCATCTCTAAATCAATGCTGCGGCTGCATTGCATGGGGCTGCATTGCGTGCTGTCCCTTTTCTGTCTGTCTGTCTGTCTGTCTATGTCTGTCTGTTTTAAACAGGGTTTCACATACCCATGCTGACCTGGAACTGGCTCCTGAAACAAAGATGACCTTTAATCTTTGACCCTCTTGCTTCCTTCTCCTAAATGCAGGCATAATAGATATGGGCTACCTACTTACTTTACTACAGAGTAAGACAGACGTATTTTACTACAACGTAATGCTGGTTGTAAGAAGGTGAGTGTGTGAAAGATAAAGTCTCCTTTTTCCCCTCTCTGTTTCTCCTTCCTCCCATTCCAGCCTTACACACTCCTGCCCATGGGAAGGAGTGGCCAGTGATATAATGTGTCTTCCAATGCCTTTCTCAGAAAACATTTGAACAGTATAATTAACTGTTTCTTTTCAATGCTGGAGGTCAAACCCAGAGCCTTGTGTACGCTAGACAAGCACTCTCCCATTGAGCCTCTGAATAATATATTAAATATACGTACACCTAACACACACACACACATGCACACGCGCACACACACACACACACACACGCACGCACGCATACACACACGCACACGCAGTTCTATATGCAGTGTCTTAGATTTGTTGTCCTTTTTTTTTTTTTCAAAGAAAAAATGCTTACATATACATCCTGTAAATCTGTCCTTTTGAGGAACAATTCATCAGGAGATTCCTTCCAAGTCAGCACCCTCACATCTACCCTTTGCCATTGCAATGGTCACACAGTGTGTCTCAATGGGGTCGTCAAACCATTGAATGGGCACATGGGTTTTGTTTCCATAATGTTCGTTTTGCTTTGAGGCAGGATCTGACCCTGTAGTCCAGGCCAACCTTAAACTCACTCTGTGTCCCAGGCTGGCTCCTGTGAGTGTGTCAGTTGGTTACACTCAGCTTAACGCCACTTCCAAGTGATCTGCCAGCCTGAGTGCTGGGATGACAGGTGTGCCCCCATGCCTGGCCTACTGATGGCTTTTCAATGTTCATTGATGTGGTCTGGAAATCTATGTACACTTGTGTTGCCATCACCGCCCTGAAAGTTTTCTTTTGTACTTTATTGCCATCTATCCTGTGCTATTGCCAGTGCCTGGCACAGTCAGTCAGGAAACGGAAACGAATGTGCTTCAGAGAAAGGGTGGACACGGTGGTGCAACCTGTAACGCCAGCATGTAAGAGGCCGAGGCAGGAAGATGGTGGGCCCAAGGCCATCCTGGGACTCCATGAGGCCCTATCTCAAAAACAAAAATAAAACCCCCAGAAGAGCTGGGCGGTGGTGGTGCACCCCTTTAATCCCAGCACTCAGGAGGCAGAGCTAGGCAGATCTCTGTGAGTTCCAGGCCATCCTGGGTTAAAGAGCGAGATCCAGGCACCAAACTACACAGGGAAATCCTGTCTCAAAAAACAAAAACAAAAAACCCAGAAGAGTAATTTGCATCATTGATGTGGAAGTCAGGCAGAGATGAGATTTCAGGGAGGATGGGCTGGAGAAACCAAGAGAAGCTGGGGAGTGAGCCTAGGCTTAGGAAGAGCCAGGCTCTGGGGTTTCATGAGGCTTTTTGCTCCTGGCCCTCAGGCTCAGTGAGAACCCTGGAACTCTTTGATATCACCCTTTAGGCTTAATCCAGCTTGGGATAGCTCCTGTGCCAGCAGAAGACACTCATGTGGTACCCTATCTCTATTAGCATCCAGCCTCTCAGGATGGTCACCTAGGGATCAGTTCATTCAATCATTCATCACACATGACTGCAGTTGCCAGCTCATGTTAAGTCCACGTTGCCTCCTGGATTCTCCCTCCCTGCTTTGTGGAGGCCCACATCCCTGCCCTGCTTAATTTTGTCTGTCTCGTCTCTTCCTTACAAGATCTCCCTGTCTCCTTGCTAGAGCATTCACCATGGAGCAGGGAGAACGATGTCTCTAAAGCACAGCCCTGATGACCACCTTTACCTGCTTAAAAACCTTCTGTGTGGGAGTGGGGAGAGAGCTTAGCGGTTAAAAGGTAGACTGCTCTTGCAGAGGACATGAGTTCAGTTCCACACTGGAGTGGCTCATGACTGACTGGAACTCTAGCTGTAGGAGGATCTGATGCTTCTGGCTTTGGTGGGTACCTGCTCTCAGGTACACATGTTCACTTACACACACACAAATATACACATAATTAAAAATAAAAATAAAATATTAAAAAAAATCTGCACTAAAACTCACTGGAAGAGATATCTCAAAATACTGAGAAAAAAAGTGCAAAATTGAGAATTATGAGAGAAAAGATGATAAAATATCCTTTTTGTTGTTGTTGTTTTGTTTTTTCAAGACAGAGTTTCACTGTGTACCCTGGCTGTCTTGGAACTCACTCTGTAGACCAGGCTGGCCTCAGACTCACAGAGATCCACCTGCCTCTGCCACCCCTGCCCAGTCATTTTTTAAATCTTAAAAAAGAAAAGAAAAAGAAAAAGGAAAAAGGAGAGGCTTATCATCGTGCACAAGGCCCTGTGTTTGAGTCCCAGTACCTCCTAGAAGTCAAGCATGTCAGCACATTCCAGAAATTCCAGGTCTCAGGAGGTAGAGACGGAGGATCAGGAGCTCAAGGCTGCACAGTGAGTTCCAGGCCAGCCTGGAATACATAAGACCCTGTCTCAAAACAAAGCAGCAAAATGAAATAAAAACATCCCTCTACCCACTCTTGACAGCCCAACCGTATTCCGCCTTTGGATCTGCTCAGTGACCTTGCCCCTGGGAACTTTTTAGTCCCTTCCTGGCTCCTACAGTACAGGAGCCAAGGAGGACCAGAGTTCCAGTGAGGTGCTACTGTCCCCGACCCTCAGCTATCCTCTGGCCACCCACTCTTCCAGGCTTAGCTAAGGGCTCCCCTCTTCCAGAAAGCTCCCAGAATCCTCTGGGCTACACATCATTCTGTGTGGCCCTCTTCTGAGCCTACCCCCACAACTCCTGGCCGGTGCAGGAACCAGCAATAGCCCATTCCGTGTCCCCAGGGCTTAGCCCAGGACCAGGCTGCTTGCTGAGAGTCTTGTTAAGGAGGGAAAATCTACACAAACATCACAGCTTCCAGTGGACCTGTGGATGCCAGATGTGTGACTGGGCTGGTATGGAACAACCAGCAGCCATCTCCCCCTGTGGGTCAGGCTCTGTCACCCTGCATGCATTCTGTGTGGATCACCTCTTGGGCAGGGCTTCTGCCCTCCACTCTTAGAGGTTACATAGCCGTTTACTGTAGCCTCAGGTCCCACAGCTTCAGCTACTGAGCCCTCCACGTCCTTCAGGCAAGATGATAACCCCAGTCGGGCATCCCGGGAAATCAGTGGAAGCCAGCCTCTTCCCTTGTAAGGACAGCCACACCCTATCTGTCCACGCCGCTGAAGCTGCCTCTGTCACACACACCCTCTACAGTTGGCTCCATCTTCTTTCTATTCCGTCTGTGATGAAAGACCCCCCCCCCAGGCTCTGATAAACAAGGCCAAGGGGCTTTCTGAGCATTGCCAACAAGACAGAGCACCTCAGAGTAAGTAGATTGCTGTCCTTGGTGACGGGGTGGGGGTGGGGGGTCTTGTTAGGTAGCCCAGACTGGCCTCTAACTTAGTCTCTGGCATGAGAACGCTGAATCCAGCTTGGGAATCCCTTTTCACAGTTGAGGCAGCTGCACTTACCTTCATTCTGTGACCTACCGTCCTCAGTTTCTCTCTCTTCCCTCACTCAGTAGTCCCTTCTGGGAATATGACCCCAAGTCTCTTCTCAAAACTCCCAAACCTTCCTAGGTGTCCTCAACCATCCCATCCAAGGATCCCTAGCACTTTACCAATACCCTAAACTTAATACCAGAAAGTTCCTTCTGCTTCCTAGGCAGGGAGGTGAGGTGCCCTTACCTAGCTTTCTCCACGGTGGGCAAAGCTGGTCTGGTCTCCCGTGATAGGCAGACAGGGAGGTAGCTTTCTCTTTTATACTGTCGGTTCCCTACCCCTCCTGCGTCCCCACACAGCTGCTCAGAAATGTGACACTCCCCCGTCTATTTCAAGCTCTCTCAAGGCTCAGGGACACTAGCCTCTGCCCAATGTGACCTGGACCAACCTTCTTCCCATGACAATGAGCGCTGCTAAACACAGGAGAGACAGGATAGCAGCCTCCTCACCAGACTGTACCTCCAGGCATCTCCGGTCATTTTTTCCAACTTATTATTATTGCTTTCTTTCACAATGTCCAGGCTGGCCTCGAATTTGAATCGATCCTTTTGCCTCTGCCTCCCTCCTGAATGCTGGGATTATAGGCATGTGCCACCACCTCAAGCTTTGTTCTGTTCTAAGGAGCCAAGGTTCCAGCTGGATCCCTGACCCACCATGTGACCTGGGAGGACTTTCTGCCCCTCTCAGGATCCCTGGCCCGTTACCAGATTTGACTCCACTTTTTGGGACCTTGTTGGCGCTCCAGGTGCTGGGGTGTAAGAAATTCCCCAAGCCAGAGGCTGTCCCCACACAGCATTTGTTGTCCCTGCACCTACCAGTACTTGAATCCTGCAGAGAGAGGAAGGGTGGGGTAGGTAGGCAAGGGTGTTAATGCTCTTCCACTTCCCAACCCAGCCTTCCCACCACAGGGACACAGTCTGCTTTCCTCTTTAGTCATCGAGAAGGGATGGAGAACACAGGCTGTTAGGTGAAGGAAACTTTATTTGGTTGACAGTCCGCGGTGGTGAAGGGATGGTGATTGTGTAAACTCATGAGCTGGACCCGAGAGGCCCTTGGCAGGTTTCACAGGTCATGCTTACCCTAGCCCCAGCAGGGGGCATCTCTTAAGCCCTGATGTTCAGAACATACGCCCTCCACCTTCCCATAAACTGGCCCCTTCTCCCATTACCTCCAACTGGGCATCTGAAATTCAGAACTGGGTTATTTATAGTCAAGCCCAAGGGAGGCGTGAGAGAGAGCTGTGTTTACAAACACAGGGTCACCTGAACCGGAGAGGTCCAGAAGGCAGCTGGGGCTTCCTTCTACTCTTCCCTACAGACCAGGGTAGGGAGACAGAGTGTTAAGAATAGGGAAGGAAGTGGGCGCAGGGGGTCTTTGATGGTGGTGCACGTGACCCAACGTGTGTCGTATGCAAATTGTATGCAAATAAGACAGATTTGACGACTTAACATGATGTACGAGGAGCGACCCTCGCGGGGTTTCGAGGCCTGGTGGTCGGGTGCCCTGGCCCTGGCCAGGTCCCAGGGCCACCGGAGAAAGGGCCAAGCCTCACAAGTCCCTCCTTCAGCCTTGACCTAGCTCTGATCTTACAGAAAGAACCTGTCACCCAAGGGAAGGAGAGTTTTGCCCCTCAACCACTCAAGGACTCTGCCAGTCCAGCTCCCACGCCCCTGTCTGTTGTTGGGGAAGATAGGTGTCGGGTTACCAGTCCAGGGGCTATAGTTAGCCCCGGGGACTTTGTTCGGCAGTCCGGGATCTGCGCAGCGCCTGCCCGCACCTCAGCCCTAGTCTGCCGCAAAAAGGATCGGAGCCCTAGGCCACTCTCGGCCTCCCCCACCTCCAGGTAGGTCCTCGTCCCCGCCCCGCCCCTCTCCAGGCGGAGCCATATAACTGCCCCAAAGAAGTCCTGGAGAGCCTGGGTGAGGGGCCGGCGTCTAGTAGTCATAGACGAGGGCTTGCGATGGGGACAGTCAAGTCCGAAGCCCTGCCTATCCTTAGACTTGTCCTTGGCCCCGCCCCATATCACTTCTGAATTCCAGTCCTTGACTAAGGACCCTCAGGGTGCAGGAAGAAGGTCCTGGAGCCCATCCAAGCCAGCACCCCGTCTCCACTGGCCTCATCATTATCTGGATCCTGCCATCCTGGGAGTCCTCCAAGGATGATTCTGGAGGATCTGCTGATGGTCCTCAGTTGCCTCGGCCTGCATACCCTTTGGAAGGTAACTTTCAGAACTATCATTTGCCAATAAGGGTCAGTTGTGGGTCAGACGCTGAGAAGGTGGTGGTAGGGGAACCATCAGGGAAACCCTCCTAGGAGACTCTTCCCTTCTCCCAATCCTCTTCTCGGGAACTTCTACACCTAGCCCGAGTGCCTCCTCTCTCTCCCAGAACTCCACCTCCCTGCATCCCTAGCTCCGTGATTCTCTCTGTGCTACCCCTCCATAGGGGCTGCCTTCATCTTCCTCCTTCCCATTTCTCATCTCACACCACAGGCAAATCCCTGTACACATGAGTGTGCTGCCGTACACTCTGGCAGACCCTGAAAACCGGGCTTCACCCCCACCCCCACCCCCAGCACACTCTGGGACTAAGTGTGGGGACAATAAACTCCCACCCACCCCACTTTGAGTTTAGAATAACATCTAAAGCAGGAGAGCATGCAGGAATCTCAGAGCTGACCTTGATGTACACTGAGTGCAGGGCTTCCCCAAGGGTGAGAAATAGCCGAGGGAGATGGGGACCAGGGCAGGGACCAGACACTGGCTGCAGTTTATTGCCTGCATACCGACAATCAGAGCCAGGAAAGACAGGAGCCAACCAGACATGGCCCTGGAAAGATGACCCTTTAGGCTGAGCCACAATGATCTTTACGTTCTCCTCACAATAACCCTGTGAGGTTGGAAGTGCCCTTAATTCGTAGGAGAATGTGGAATCCAGGAAAGCCCTGACCTGAGACTTGCTTGAGATCCCACAGCTAGCAGGTGGTGTTTCAACTCATGTCCGTCCGACTCCACTGTCGGTGTTAACTGTGCCTCTTTGGGATCTTGCCACTTGCATGCATCAGATGGTTGGGCATAGAAATGAACACCTGTGATTCTGAACTGATCTGCCACCAGGACCCTTGGCCAGTGTCCTAAACTTACCCTCTTGCCTATGTGGTGTCACCTTCCTTATGTCCACAGGTCCAAGCTGTTCCTATCCTGCCCCTGAGCCTGGTTCCAGACACCTTCGATGATGCCTACGTGGGTTGCTCTGAGGAGATGGAGGAGAAAGCAGGCCTGCTGCTGAAGGAGGAGATGGCCCGCCATGCCCTGCTCCGGGAATCCTGGGAAGCAGCCCAAGAGGCCTGGGAACGCCGGCGGCACACGCTCACTCTACCTCCTGGCTTCAAAGCCCAGCACGGAATAGCTGTTATGGTGTACACCAACTCATCCAACACCTTGTACTGGGAGCTGAACCAGGCTGTGCGGACTGGAGGTGGCTCCCGGGAGCTCTACATGAGGCACTTCCCCTTCAAGGCCCTGCATTTCTACCTGACCCGGGCCCTGCAGCTGCTCCGGGGCACCCGAGGCTGCAGTAGGGAAGACGGGGAGGTGGTGTTCCGAGGCGTGGGCAGCCTTCACTTTGAACCCAAGAGGCTGGGGGACTCGGTCCGATTAGGACAGTTTGCCTCCAGCTCTCTGGATGAAACTGTGGCTCGTGGGTTTGGTAATGCCACTTTCTTCAATCTAAGGACTTGTTTTGGGGCTCTTATCCAGGCTTTGTCTGTCTTCCCTGAGGAGCGTGAGGTGCTGATACCCCCACATGAAGTCTTCTTGGTCACTGGGTTCTTCCAGCATGGAGCCCAGAGCATAGTAACTCTCTGGAGTTATAATCAGACCTGCAGCCACTTTAACTGCGCCTATTTGGGTGGTGAGCGATGCATGGGCGACAGAGAATGGCAGGGTGGGTGAAAGCCAGCATGTCCTGACCCAGGCCCCAGAGACTTCAGGAGACTCGATTCGTTAGCGAGACTGAGGTTCTGCCAGGTCCTGTGACCTGTGGACATTCAAGATCTGTGGATATTCTCAGATGACTGTCTTCTCAAAAGGGTAGACTAAGGAACCGAGTGAAGGAGGCCAGTCTCAGTAGGCCCTGGTTTGATGGGGCTAACAGGACTGGACTGTGCCAAGTCCAGGAGGGAGGCAGGAAGAGAATGGAAGAGTGATGGGGTGTGGGTAGGAGCAAGGATGGCTAGGCCATCTGGAAAGGTGACCTCGGGAAGAAGCTGAAAGGAAGTGAGTAGTCTGCTTTGAGGTGAAGGAGAAGACAGACAAAGGGGGATGGCCAGAGGCAAGACATTTGGGATGAGAGTCATCTCGGGGCCTTACTGTGCTATCTGTTGCAGGGGAGAAGAGGCACGGCTGTGTGTCCTCAACAGGTACGTCGCCCCCTGGCCTGCTCTGTGGGCTGTTCAGCTCTCCTGGCCCTGCTTCCTACCTCACCTTCCCTTCTTCTTTCTCCAGCAGGAGGGCAGCCAGAGTCATCCTCCACAGAGGCCTTGGCTCTGCAATCAGGGAAGACGCTGCTCTTGGACCCTGGGGAGTTGCAGCTCTCAAGAGCTGGACCCTGAGAGCCTCTTGGAGTCTTGGGAACTGATGACCTTTCCATGAAGACGGGCCTTTGCGTGGCCTGGAGAAGCAAGAGTGTGGTTCTGGTTCTAGTGCAATGGGCTACCTCTCCAACCAGGGTTGGAGACCTGAGGCCGTGGCAGGGTTGGGGGAACCCCACTATGTGGTGGGGACTTCCCAGGACATGCAAGGTCAAGACTGGATGGCTACTCAATTAAACGGAGTTGTGGTATAGTGACATGGGCTTTTATGACTGGTTTATTTCACGAGGTCATTTGTCCTTGGCAAGCTTGAAAGTCGGGGATTGAAAACTAACTTCCTGATCCTCTTGGTCAAACACTTTAACCTCTGCACCTGGAGCTTTTGAACAGCCAGAGGGGCCTCATGGCTGCCTTTAAGGCAGAATAGATGGACTCCCAGTCCTGTTGGTCTATGAGAAATCCAGGGCCAAGGAAGGGCACCACCTCCAGGCCTCCCAGGCCTCTCCAACCCAGGCCCCCTCACTTTCAGGCCTCCACACTCTCAGCCCAGAACTCTTTCCACTAAAGACCTAAGAAACCCCAAAGTAGGATTCTAAACCCTAGATCCCAAAGCAAGCTGTTTCTGCCCTTCTCACATGGGGTTCATTTTAGAGGGAAGTCAAAGAAGGGATCTTAGGACATCAAGAAGTGGGGATTGCTACCTGACTTCCACAGCTGAAATTTTACTGAGGCAAAGAAACACCATGATCTTCTACTTATGAGACCCTTGCTCTATCCAGGAAGGCTGCTGCACTCAGTGACAGAGGAGACCCTCCTGTTGTGTTAGGACTCACACTTGCTCTCCAGGCCTTCCTCCAGGGGCAGGTCCCCTGGCCCCTCTGCTTCTTGCTCCCTGTGCACCAGCACATGAGCAGGGGAGGAGTGGCCAGGCTCTCCAGACACTGGAGTCTCAGCCTCTCCTATGACATCGAGGCCAGCTCCTAAAGAGACCTCGGTCTCCACAATCCCTGGCATGGTCAGCTCTGCTGGGGTCTCAGGGGTGGGAGGGCCCAGATTCTGGAAACTGTTGCGCACTCGGGTGATGTAACGACTGAGGATGCTAGCGCCATCGGGGGGCCGAGGTGTCCCGCCTGCCGCCAGAGTCTTCTGCACGCTGGCCACCTCGCTTTGCAGTCGAGACACGGTCTTGGTCAGCTCTGTCAGTCTGGTGCCCAGGTCTGAGATAAATCGGGACAGAGAGGTCTTTCGGAAGGTGAGCCTGTCAGCACCTCTTCCGTCTGCCCCCACCCCACCCTACTGAACCCAGGCCACCCTGTCTGAATCCTAAGGACGGGCTGGAAGGACAGAGGGGTCAGGAGGGTAGAGAAGCTGTGCAGGTGAGTGTGAGCATTGGTGAAGGGCAGCAACAAAGAAAGAAAGCCTTGGGGCTGGAGAGATGACTCAGAGGTTAAGAGCACTTGCTGCTCTTCCAGAGGTCTTGAGTTCAATTCCCAGCAACCACATGGTGGCTCACAACTATCTGTAATGAGATCTGGTGCCCTCTTCTGGCCTGCAGACAGAACACTGTATTATGATAAATAAATAAATCTAAAAAACAAAACAAAAAAAAAGAAGGAAAGCCTTAGCTGGGCTGGGTGCAGGCCTGTGATCCCATCTAGTTGGGAGACTGAGGAAAGAAGATGGCGAGTTCAAAGCCAGCCTAGGCTTCAAAGTGAGTCCAAGACTAGTCTAGGAAACAGTAAGACAGGAAGGCAGAGTAACTGAGTCACTGGGCCGGCTGGCAAGCTGTGGCTTCCAAGGGCAGAAAGGACGGGACTGAATCTTAACGCAACCGAGTCAGGAGGGTGAGTCTGGGTGTGGGGCACCCCTCCCAGGAGAGCCATGAACAGCAGTGGGGGAAGGATTAGAGGTGGGAACTGGACCTTTCCTCCGGGCCTCCTCAAACTCGCGCCGGGCAGTCTCTATGTAGCGCTGCACCAGAGCCTTGATAACCCGAAGGCGGTAGGATCCACGTTCTCCTTCCCCAGGCCCTGCCCTTGCCCCAGGGTTGGTCTGCAATGGAAGACACAGTGAATTCTCTACTTCCTTCAACGTCTCTCTGGACTATGAATAAAGGAGAAAGGCAAAATCTACGCAAGCTTCCTGTCCCTGGACTGTCTCTCTCCTACAGCGCAGTCCTGGGGGATAATAGACGGCAGCCAACTAGGCAAGGCAGACCGTGGGAGGAGACGTGTCCAGTGTGTGTGGTGAAGGCCGGGGTGGGAGTGGGGTGGGAAGGAAAGGCCCCGGTGGAACTGGCAGCAATGGCCCAAATTAGAAAAGCTCTCGTGCCCAGCTACCTCTTTCTCCCTGTCACCCTGCTCATCCTCAGGAGGCTTTTTCCATCCGTATGCTGTTCAAATCACCCAAGCATGTCTTAGAGTCTGGTTGTCTGGAACTCAGGCTTGGGAGGGAGGGGGCATAGAATCATGTTTAGGCTGCAGGATGTGGGACTGGAAATGCAGGGCCCAGCCAGAAGCAGGAAGATGAAAACGGAGGCTGTGTGTGAGAGCGGGAACCGGGGGCAGGCTCTCTGGGGACATACCAGTGGCCTGGGTAATTCAGAGGCCGAGAAGGTACTCACAAAGGTTGGGATGGGGGGGTAGTCCGACTTCTTGGCTTTGCAGCAGGAGGAACAACAGCAAACGAACCAGAAGATTCTCCTGAGAGGTCACCATGGTGAAAAGAAGTTAGCCAGGGACAGGGCCTGGGAGAGCCGGGCAGGAGCTGGGTGGTGTACAGGGGCAAGAGCGGAGGCCGTCACCTGACAAGGTAGAAGGCAGCCTTCGGGGAGGGCAGGATGTTGAAGGGTACAGGCAGCGTCAAGCCTTCTCGGAAGTAGGACAGGTAGAGCTTGGAGCGAGCGAACTTCCACTCCACATCAGCATCGTCCTGGGGAGCACGAGGCAGGAGGCTATGCGGGGTCCATGCTGGCACCGGCCCCCTTGCCCACCCACCCCGCCTCTCTTGTCTTCCCATCCGTTATTCTCCAGTGTGCCCACCACTTTCTTCCTGTTCTTATTCCTACCCCCATCGATCACCCACATTTTCCTGGAACGCTTCCCTTTCCCATTCTCTCTCTCTGATTTCCGGATGCTGCTCAGTCCGTTCTCCAGTCTGCAGACTCAACCCAGGCACTTCCTTCTTGTGTCCCACTTACTCTTCTATAATGCCTCCAAATGGCCACCACCACCACCACCACCACCACCACCACCACCACCACCACCAAGAAAAACTGCAAACAGCGCTAGACCTGGCGCCTGGCGACAGCAACAGCAGTTCTGAGACCCTTGTATGGAGGGAGGTTGTCCAAACCATCAAACAGTAGTGAGAGCAGGGCAGGTACCCAGGGGTCTTGGCGCCCTATTCCTCCCTATCCCCCGTCCCCACTCCCTGGCCAGCCTGGCTCGGGTTACCCACCTCAATTTTCTGGAAGGAGTTGGTGATCATGGCAATGAGCATGTTGAGCAGCACAATGACCATCACGATGGTGAAAATGCCGTACAGGGCCCGGCCCACGAACTCGGGCACCAGGAACTGAGGCATGTCCACCACTTTGTGCTCTTCCATGCCGAACATGGTCCAGAAGAGAAACTGGAACGTTTCGTTGAAACTGGCGTGGTGGGGGCAAGCAAAGGACAGGAAAGTGGGGGTAGGGCTGGGAGAGAAGCCTGGCTTCCACCCAGACATACTCCCCGTCCCTGAAGACTCAGACAAAGGTGCTCTGTGTCCATGAAGCCTTTTGGGCTAGCCTTACAGACACTTGCCATTTCTTAGCATCAACCTTTATTTAAATTTTTATTTTATTTTGTATATGTATATTTTATTTTACATATTTTTATGTGTATATGTGTGTGTGTGAGTGTATGGAAGTGCACCGTGTGTATGCAAGAGGCCGCAGAGGTCAGAAGAAGCAGTGGATCCCTGGAACTGGTAAAGTCTATAAGTTTGAAAGATATCAAAAGATAGTATTCGGTTGATAATACAAGTTAGGATAGAAAGTGAATTAAGTACAACATTTTGGACTCACCAAAATAGGATAAACAATGGAGTATTTTTTCTGAATCTGTCAAATGTTAGTGGACTAGACATTGTTAATGTAATTCTTGACTATATATATTGTATATACTTATTGTACTTATTGTATTTACTTTTTCTTATATTAGTTATAACCTTTTATTATTTTAGACAAAAAATGGGAATTGCAGTGATATATTATGTACTCTAATAAATTCGCTTGAAGATCAGAGACAAAGGAATAAGCCACCTCTTACCTTGAGGACTCCTCAGCCTGAACAGCTTTCTTCCGCCAAAGGACTTTAGTTCCTGTCTCCTCACGCTTTATATACCTTTCTCTGCCCACCCACATCATTTCCTGTCTCAACCTTCCTAGTGCTGGGATTAAAGGTGTGTGACTCCCAAGTACTGAGATTCAAGTTGTGTGCCACCACTGCCTGGCTTTGTTTCTCTCCTAGACTAAGTCAATCTCATGTAGTCCAGGGTGGCTTTAAACTCACAGAGATCCAGACGGATCTCTGCCTCCCAAGTGCTAGGATTAAAGGCGTGTGCCACCACTGCCTGGCATCTATGTTTAATTCAGTGGCTTGTTCTGTTTTCTGATCTTCAGGCAAATTTATTAGGGCAAATATATCATGACAAACTGGAGTTACAGGTAGTCTGGTGCTGGGAGCCAACCCGGAGTCCTCTGTGAGAGCGGGAAGGCCTTAACTGCTGAGCCACCTCTCCAGCCCCTCCCCCTTTATTCTTTTGGTCAGCCAGGACACAGTGGTGTATAAGAAGCAGAATCCTGTCTCCAAGGCCCTTGTGTTCTGGGGAGGGTAAGGGTGAGGGTGGGATGTGAAGAAGAGAGAACGGCTTGTGAGAGGCTGTTGGGGACCACACAGATACAGGGCCTAATCCTGTAGAACTAAAGACTCTACCACGTCCTTCCAACCACGGGAATCTATGAAGAGTTCCGGACAAGGGGGGACACCTGAATTACATTTGGAAAGATCATGTTGGTTGCTGCGACTGCAAAGCAGAGAGCTAAAAGAGGAAGGCATGAAGACAAGTTCCTGGGTGGGAGAGGATGTGTGGTGTGGAGGAGAGGCAGCGGCCCCGGTGACTCCTCTTCCAGGAAGCCCTCCCGATCTGCCTTTCCCATGGACCCCCAGCAGAATGTGCTCATCCAGAGCTCACTGTCCTGCCTGCACTAACCTGCCCTTCGCATTTCGTGGTGAAGGCATCTCATTCCCTGCATCTGTTTTTTGTCACTCTGCCCTCCACATGGCACCAAGGGAGATCTTCCTAAATACGACCTAATCTGCTACACCTCTACTCACTAACTTTCAATACTCCTGGTTACCCTCAGTCATATGCCTACCATTTACCTCACCTGAGAGCTGTCCAAATACTTTTGTTTTCTTTATTGGGGTTCTGCCTGTATGTGTGTCTGTGTGAAGGTGTCGGATCCCCTGGATCTGGAATTACACACAGTTGTGAGCTGCCATGTGGGTGCTGGGAACTGAACTCAGGTCGTTTGGAAGAGCAGCTCTTAATTGCTGAGCCATCTCTCCAGCCCCCCTCCCAGTCAAAATACTTTTTTATATAAATATATTTATTATGTATACAGTGTTCTTCCTGCATGTGTACCTGTATACTAGAAGGAGGCACCAGATCTCACTACAGATGGTTGTGAGCCACCACGAGGTTGCTGGGAATTGAACTCAGATCCTCTGGAAGAGCAGCCAGTGCTCTGAACCTCTGAGCCATCTCTCCAGCACCCCCAGTCAAAATACTTCTAAAAATGGTTTACATTTACTTATTTTTACCTGTTTCTGTGTGTGCACGTTCATGCGTGTATGTGTGTGTGCTCTGAGAATGCCACAGCATAGGTGTGGACGTCAGGCAACTTTTGGGAGTCAGTTCTTTCCCTTCACCATGTGGCTCCTGGGGCCCCAACTGAGGTCACCAGGCTTATCAGCAAGCTCCTTCACCTACTGAGCTCTCTCATCAGCTCTTTCTCTTTTTGGAACAAAGTCTTATGCAGCCTGAGCTAGCCTCAAACTTGTTAAACAGCAGAGGATGACCTTGAACTTGTGATCCCCCTGCCTCTACTTCCAGCACTGGGATTGTAGGCATGCACCATCATGCACAGCTGGGAGCAAGTACTCCTTTAGAAGGATGCAAGATAAGAAATGTCAAACAACTGACAGATGTGGAAAGTCACTATCTCAAAATGACCACTGTAGAGACTGATTCAGGTAAGAATCATCTGTGGCTGGGTAGGGTGGTACATGCCTGGAATTCCAGCACTTGGGGTGAAGACAGGGCGATCAGGAGTTCAAGATCATCCTTAGTTACACATCGGGTCCAAGGCTAGCCTGGGCTACTTGAGAACCTATCTCAAACCCCACTGACTCTCAAGATTGTCCATGGATATTAAATCCAGTGGGTACAGACTGTAGGCAGTCTAGCTGTAGTATGTCAGACACCTATCTGTTAGTAAGAGGGCTTCTCTGTTGCCTTTACAATGGAGAGGTGTTCTTGACCAAGGGCCAAGCCACACCACGCTCCCCTAATGTGAAGCATTGGAAAGTGCTTGTTAGCCAGGTCCCGTTCTCACCCAAACTCTTTCAATTAATTAATTGAATGTGTTTGTGTGTGAGACTGGGTGAGTTTATGTGCATAAAGGCAGTGTTAGATGCCCTGGAACTAACTTTACAAATAGTTGTGAGCCAGTACTGGGAACTAAACCCAGGTCCCCAGCTTTCTCTCTCTCTCTCTCTCTCTCTCTCTCTCTCTCTCTCTCTCTCTCTCTCTCTCTCTGTTTTTTTGAGACAGGGTTTCTCTGTGCAGTAGTCTTGACTGTCCTGGAACTCACTGTGTAGGCCAGGCTGGCCTTGAACTCACTGAGATCTGCCTGCCTCTGCCTCCCAAGTGCTGCGATTAAAGTCAGGCACCACCACCTCCCGGCTGCAGTAAGCACTCTCAACCACTGAGCAATCTCTTTAGCCCCATCCTGCCTAAACTCTTCACCTTGAATTTAGTCACAAGAAAATAAATGCCAACTGTAGATTATAAATCAGTTCATTGTCATTCAAGACACACACAAAAGGTACACGTGGAGATGGTCTGGGTTACAGCAAAGTGTCGTCAGTGCATGGTTTTAGGGTACACATGGGGTTTTAGGTTTTTGTTTTGTTTTGAGGTGGGTCTTCTGTATCCAAGGCTGGCTCAAAGTCATTTCATAGCCAAGGATTACCGTGATAATTTCATTACCAAGGGTTACTTCTGATCCTCTTGCCTCAGTCTCCTAATTGCTGGGATCACAAGTAGGTGCCACCATACTAGGCAAGCATTCTACCAACTGAGCTGCATCCTCAGCTTCTACACATGGGATTTTTTTTTAAAAAAAGATTTATTTATTACGTATACAGTGTTCTGTCTGCATGTATGTCTGCAGGCCAGAAGAGGGCATCAGATCTCATTACAGATGGTTGTGAGCCACCATGTGGTTGCTGGGAACTGAACTCAGGACCTCTGGAAGAGCAGCTAGTGCTCTTAACCGCTGAGCCATCTCTCCAGCCCTACACATGGGATTTTTTAATAGGGTCACAGGAAAATTTGAACAAGGGCTGCATAGTAAGCAATTTTATAAAATTGATACTCAAGTTTTTGGTAGGATAGTGGTTTGTGATCATGTTCCTAGGAGACATCTCAAACTATTTGGGACTAAAATGTTGGGACACTTACAACTTTTAAGTATTGCCAGAGATAGTAGGGGGTGGTGGTGCACACCTTTAATCCAGCACTTGGAGAGGCAGAGGCAGGCAGATCTCTGTGAATACGGGGCCAGCCTGGTCTACACAGCAAGCTCTAGGACAGCTGTAGCTACATAGTTAAATCCTGTCTCAAAAACAAACAAGCAAAAAAGTGTTGCATGAGAAAAAAAAAAAAAAACAAACAGAAACAGATCAAGTAAGTGGTAGCAAAACAATGAGCAGAGACACCATGTGAAGGGCGTGGGTGCCCAGCGAAGGACGTGGGTGCCCAGTGAAGGACATGGGTGCCCAGTGAAGGATATGGGTGCCCAGCGAAGGGTGTGGGTGCCCAGCGAAGGGTGTGGGTGCCCAGTGAAGGACATGGGTGCCCAGTGAAGGGCATGGGTGCTCAGTGAAGGGTGTGGGTGCCCAGTGAAGGGTGTGGGTGCCCAGTGAAGGACATGGGTGCCCAGCGAAGGGTGTGGGTGCCCAATGAAGGGCATGGGTGCCCAGTGAAGGGCTTGGGTGCCCAATGAAGGGCATGAGTGCCCAGTGAAGGGCATGGGTGAATCTCTCCATTTAATATTTTCATAAGATCGACATTTTTCAAACAGAAGGGTTGGAAACAGATGAATGTGTAATCAAATAAATTAGTAACCATCAGAGTGAATCAATGAGCCTTGGGCAAGTAAGAAAGTTAGCTGAGTGAACCAACAAGGGAAGGAGAAAGATGCCTTAAGATGTCCATCCCCTAGCCTCAGCGTACTTGCCCAGCTGCTCAGTCTCCTGGTATGGCACATAGATGTTGTTGAGGCCACAGAGGAAGGCAGTCAGGATGATCATGAGGATGAACATGAACCTGGTGGGGAGTAGGACATGGAAGGGTCAGAGCAGGTCCCCACCCTACAAGTCAGGCCCTGGGAAACAGAATCAGGGAAGGAGATGTTGGCCTTCCCGGATCTTCATTTATTTTATTTTTTGCCTTTTGATCTCAATTTCCAAGAAAGAGGGAAAAAGTGAGGCTTAGAGTTGTTCTAGAACTGGGATCAGAAACACCCACCAAGGGCTCTTTCTGCTTTGCAGTTGTGGCGAGGGCAGGAGCTGTAACCCTCCCTGCCGAGGAGAAGAGCATGTTTACATTTACATTCTGCCTCTAGATTCCAGGGATCAGAGATCGGTGGAGCTCACAGTCTTGTGAGAGGAATGCGGGTCAGGAACTCCCGTGCCCCACAGAGCTAAGGGATTTCGGGAGACCGAGTCTGTGGGGGAGGAGCCATAGGCAGGGAGAGCATAAACAGAGTACCCACCGGATCATGTCGTCGATCATCCTGCCAATGGAAATCTGCAGCGTGCCCAGTGACTCGTGAGCTGGCAGGATGTATGCCAGCCGGGTGAAGCTCAGCATGCTGGTGACAGCAAAGAGCACCTCAGCCAAGAACTGGGGGTCCTCTGTGCGCCACTCACTCCGCTCTGCGCAGGGTAGGATGGGCAGTGGCTGAGAGCCAAGGAAAAAACCAAAAACCAAAAACCACAGCAACAACAAATCCCCCCACCCCCCCAGGGCCTTGGGACTCCCTACTGGGCTGGCGGGACTGTGATGCCAATCACTATTATTATCAGCTGAACTGATTCAGAATCACCCAGGAGACACACCGCTAGCTATCTCTGTCAAGGTGTTTCCAGAGGGGTTTTCCTGAGGAGGGAATGTGACTGGGTTCCTGGACTGACTATAACGAGAAAAGGGAGCTAAGCACCCCAGCATCCATCTTCCTGCTACATCTGCACCCACCACGTCTTCCTCACCAGGATGTACTGTCTCTCATCGAACTATGACCCAAAATAAACTCTTCCTGTCTTAAGCTGCTTTTTGTTCTTTGTTTTTTCAAGGTAGGGTTTCTCTGTGTAGCCTTGGCTGTCCTGGAACTCACTCTGTAGATCAGGTTGGCCTCACGCTCAGATCCCCTGCCTCTCCCGAGTGCTGGAATTAAAGGCGTGCGTCCCCACCGCCCGGCTATTTGCTGGGTATTTCACCACAGCAGAGAGAAAGGTAACGCTGCTCACCAGCAGTGGTGAAATAGCGGCAGGTGGTGCTGTCTGAGGCTTCCCGGCAGTGCATGTAGGCAAGCCCAGCCAGGAGGAGGCGCAGGGCAAAGGATGCCAAGTACAGAGAGAGGATGACCACGTCCAGGAAGTTCCACCAGTCCAGGAGATAGCTGCGCAAGCCCTCGATCCACACCTCCTTACACTCAAACCACAGGAAGCCTGGGAGGAGAGAGGGGTCAGGAGAGAGAGGTCAGGAGAGAGAGAGGGGTCAGGAGAGGAGGGGGCGGAGCTCTCCTCCTCCGTCCAGGACACAGCCAGGTGGTAGTGGCCGGGCATTGCTGAGGAAGCATTTAATCCATGCAAGTGCAAAGAGGCCTTCAGGAAAAACAAGGACTCCCTCACTGGTGCAGACTGATGTCAGGATTGACGGACCTGCTCGAGGAAGCCCGGCAGGTGACACTCAGAGAGCAAGCAGCATGGGGTGGGGGTGGGCCGCTGTTCTTCCCGGTCCCCACCAAATCATAGTAGGCAAATATCTAAGGACTCCTTTTGATTTTATTTTTTAATTTAAACATGTATTTGTGTGTGTGTGTGTGTGTGTGTGTGTGTGTGTGTGTAGGTCAGAGGACAACTTGTGGGAGTTGGTTCTCTCTTTCCACCAGGTTCGTCTCAGGTACTGACTCAGGTTGTCAGGCTTGGCACCAAGTGCTTTTGTTCACGGAACCATCTTAACCACTCATGCCTTTGAGACTCGGTCTCACTATGTAGCCCTGGTTGGTTTTGACTTTGCTAACCTCTTGCCTTAGCTTCCTGAGTGTTGGGATTACAGTTGTGTACCACAGCACCCAGTTCTATTTTTTTTAAGACAAGATTTCTTTTTTTTTTTTTTTTTTTTTGAGACAGGGTTTCTCCGTGTAGCTTTGCGCCTTTCCTGGAACTCACTTGGTAGCCCAGGCTGGCCTTGAACTCACAGAGATCCGCCTGGCCCTGCCTCCCGAGTGCTGGGATTAAAGGCATGCGCCACCACCGCCCAGCTCAAGACAAGATTTCTTTGTGTAGTTTTGGTGTCTATCCTGGATGTCGCTCTGTAGACCAGGCTGGCCTCGAACTCACAGAGAACCGCCTGCCTCTGTCTCCCCACCGCCCGGCCACCCAGCTCTATTTTAAGACCTTGATGTGAAGGGACTCTAAATTATCAGCCTGCTCAGTGTGACCAAGTCTCCATGGGGCCCAGTGCAGAGCTGGCCACGGGGATCTTGGTAGCTGGCCACAAGTAAAGGGTTCTCTCATACATACCCGTGACCCAAATCATGTGTAGTGAAGTCTCCCAGACACTCTGGCTGCGGCCTTTGAAGGTGCTCAACTGAGTCTCCATGGCCAGGGACTCTCCCAGCAAGAAGATAAGGAACCACAGATAGGAGGCCGAGTGCAGCAGGAACTTCAACACTGGGATCTTCAGCAGGCGGCCCAGCTTTGGGGGAGACAGGAAAGCGCAGCTGTCGGAGGTCTGTGGTCACTTGTCCCTGGAACCCCCTGGACTTGCTTGGCCCCCATGTGAGCCTGCATCTTCCAGATTCCCCCACTCGTCTAGGCAAGTACTAAGAAGGACGTGGTGTGCACCAGGCTCTATGTTTTCTGTTTTCTCCTTCACAACCATGTGAGGTAAGTGTTGTTCCTGCCTCCCCCACCCGTTTCTGGGGGAGGATTCCACAGGAAACGTTCAAACTCATCATCACTACTATTCTAAACCTGCTCCCCTTGCCTCATGAAACCACTGGGCCACCCAGCCAGGGCCTGAGTGGCACCTCTCCACTCCTTCTCTTGCCACACTCTGGCAGTTTTTGTAATGCCTGTCCCTGCCCCCTAGGCCACCTGTATACTTCCAGCGGAGACACAGAGCAAGGTATCACTCATCTTGTTCTTCGTACCCGGGACTTGGGCGCCAGCCAGTAGCCGATGCAGAGGAAGGGCATGGTGAGGAAGATCAGAAAGGCGACGAAGAGCTTCCAGATGGTGGTGCTTCCACGCCAGCCAGCCAGGTTCCCACACCAGATGGAAGACAGGACTTGCTGGCAGATGGGGTGTGCCACGAACTAAGCAGAGACGAGTCGTGAGAGGAGATGGCCGCCCGGCAGGAAGGCCAAAGGGGCCGACTGGACACAGAGCCCTTACTTCCTGCCACAGAGGCTGAACCATCATTTCATCTCCGTGCCAGCCCACCCAGAAGAGAGAGGCTTCACCTACCACGTGACCATGGGCAAGGGCCCTCACAGGCCTTGGTGTGGAGGATCTGAACGTGAAGATGTTCCGAGACTCTTCACACCCCACGTTCTTGAATCGAAGCCAGGCAGGAGTGGGTAGAACTTGGGGTCTAAGTCCCAGAATTCCCAGTGCTCCCTGCCTCAGCAGGTACATGTACCATGAGTCTAGGTGAATGATCTTGGGGAGGGGAGGGACATGGCATATGGGTCTCCGGTCATGAGGACCAGTTCAGTGGAGACGGCACACAGGAAAGCGTTGGTAATAGGCCTAGTAGGTCAGAACCCGAGTCTCAGAAAGTCCCGAGGATAGACAGTCATAGCATAAGGCTGAAGCGGGATATGCCTCAGAGGAGGCAGGACAAGGGGCCAGGGTGGGGAGGGCAGGCTGTAGGCCCAGCTGACCTGTTTCTGGTTGTAGTTGACAGCCAGCCGCAGTCTTGCCAGGTTGGGGATGCCCTCCTCAAAGGCCTGGCCCAGGCCCTCAGCCTCAGGCTCGGTCTCACTGTCCTCACCCATGTCATTGAGCACGGCGGTGACCTCACTCTGGTTCCGGCACATGCCCAGCAGTTCAAAGCCATAGTCCTGGCAGAGCGACTCCAGGGCAATGTACTGAGGCTGAGAGAAAGGAGGTCGGTGTGTGCCGTCGGATCAACCCATCCCCGCCCCCCCACAAACATCGGCCCGTGACACTTCTGTCTGATGTCACGGGGTCATCGACTTCTTTCTTCTCTGCTACCTCATCCGTCCTCCCGGGGTGCTTTGCTTCTCCGATGCTATTTCCACCTCGTCACTCAGGTTCTCCAACCCAAACCTACTGTCTTTGCCTGTCCCCTGGACTTGTCTACCTCCCGATTCCCGTCCCTCTCTAACTGACTCCCCATACCGTCTGTAAACATTGCTATTATTGTGTGTGATGTGTGTGCAGGTTCACATTGCCATAGCACACATGCAGAGGTCAGGGCAACTTTGTAGAATTGGCTCTCTTTCCACTTTTATGTGGGTCCTGGGGACTGAACTCAGATCGTCAGGCTTGCCCAGAAGCAGCAGGAGTTTTTGCCTGTGAACCATCTCACTGCCCTCCCCTTACCCTTATCCTGTGCTCGTTCTGTTCATCTTTTTGAGCATCGCCCTTATATGGAGTCGGTGTTGGAGGATGAAGGAGATACAGGAAAGAGTAAGCAGCTCTTGGCTGCTTATTTTCCATCCTACCCTGTTTATTTGGGCGTTTTTCCTAGAGAGGATCTAAGCCAGGCTTCGAAGGCCGAGGTTACCTCTAGCACTGTCCCTCAGCCAGGAAACTTTTTTTTTTTTTTACAGACCTCAGGTCTGTCCACCTGTCAAGTATGGGTGAGAATTCCTGCTCTGCCCATTCCACAGGCTGCTAAGAGAAGGGGAGTCCTCTGAAAGCATTGCTCCTTCTTGGTGGGGACCTTTTCATCCTCCGGCTTTTTGGCCTCATCTTGTCCTAGGCCTTCATAATATCCTCATGGGCTTCCCTACCTAATGGCAGTCATGGCAGTCTTGAGGATGGGGACCTAGTCTGGCCTAGCACACAGGGAATGCCAATGACTCAGTGATGGATAAATGGATGGTGCAGTGCCAGGCCCCAGACCAGATAGATACTCTGCTTCATGTATCTTTGGTCCATCCCAGGTCCTCATACTTTTTTTTTTTGGTGTGTGGGTGGGGGTGTTTCATTGAAATAGGGTCTCATGTATTCCAGGCTGGCCTCCAACTTGCCAAAGAGGATCTTGAACTCTGATCATTCTGTCTTTGCCTCCCAAGTGGTGGGACCACAGGCGTGTCCACCTCATGTAGTGTTGGGGATCAACTCTGGTCCTCATCCACAGCAGGCAGGCACTCTACTGACCGAGTCGCGCCTCCAGCTCCTCATTATATACCTTTGCGGGAACTTCGGCTTGCCTAACTGCCTTCCCTGCCCATCTTCTCTAACCCGCCTCTTCCCTTAAGAGTCTTCCCGGAACACAAAGGCCACAGGTCACTCTTTTTCTGCTTTCTGTGCTTTGGAAGTCCTGGGAGCATCTTGTCCCCTTTGCCTATCCATGATCACGAGCTTGAGAGTCCCAACACACGGCACTCCAGGTGAAAACTCGGGGGTACCTCAAAGGGACATGCTTACTGAATGTCACGTCTAAGCCTGTCCAACTGTTTCTATTTTTCTCTCTTACCTTAGATGGATCTAGAGTACCCCTAGGACAGGACCTGTACTCCCTGCATAAGCCAAGTGCCCCTGGAGTGACTGCTGTCACCAGATTGAAAGCCTAGTTCAGAATGGAACTGTATCTCTCAGAACAAGAGACCTCATCCTCTTTTGCCGCTTCTCACTTCTCAAACTTCCTAGAACCCCCACCACAAAGCCCAATCCTGTCCAGGGGCAAGAACAGACACCGGGCATGGAGGGCAGGATGGAGTAAAGGCAGAAAGGGAAACAAACCTTAAACTCGGGCTCCTTTCGTGCAAGGCGCCTGAGCTCCCGGCTGAGCTGAAAGGCAGCCAGCATGGCATCCTCGCTGGCCAGTGAGAGGTGGGCCCGGCTTGCGATGCCGCGGTAGGTGTTGATTCGGGATAATGAGAATTTCAGCAGGTCATATCGGCGGGCATTGCTGCACTCAAGGCAGGCACAGGAAACTGGGTGGGGCCGGGCAATAGTGTGGCCCTGGTCCATGAGCAACTGGGCAATCTCATACAGGTCCTTCTGGCAGGCTAGTGTGAGTGGAGTGACCCCAGGGGCAAAGCGGGAGCCATCAATTGATGAGTCAAAGAAAGCTAGCGAGAAAGACTTGGTGTCTACTTTTCGACCCTTCTCCCGATCCAGCCGAGCCAGCAGGCGACGCACCACCGCTGGTTGGTTCGTGTCCACGGCCACCAGCAGGGCTTCGTGGATCTGCCGGAAGTCAAACTTGATGTTGGCCAGCAGCACGTCAGTGATGGCCTCATGGCCCAGCCGGATGGCCAGGTTGAGGGCTTCCCTCCAGGAGCGGTCCTCAGACTCTTCCACATTCCGCAGGGGCCCAGCCCCCGAGGGGGCGTCGCTGCCTGACTCCAGCAGCTGCTGCACGAGACCCAGCTGCCCCTCCTGGATGGCCCCCAGCAGCGTGGGTGGGAACTTGAGCTTTTTGTTCACAATCTCAGTCCAGTTGGGCTGCGTCTGGGTGAAGGAGGGGAGAGGGGGGTGCTCTTGAGTTCCCAAAGCCCTTAGTCTGGAGGCCTTCCTCACCTACCTTCTGGCCTCTAACCCTTTGGAATCAGCTATCACGTCTGCCTTGTCCCAAACACGTATGGGCAACACATACCGCCTTGCTCACCATTTTATTATGTAGATTCATGCCGGCAAAGGGCTAGAGTGTGTGTGTGTGTGTGTGGGGGGGGGTGTTATCAGCTCACTCCCACTCTCATGAAAATCCTACAGACCAGGGCCCAGTGTCAGCTCCCTGGAGAGGGGGTTAGAGCAGGTGGTCAGGGCCACACTAGGAGCCTAAGCCCCATACCAGCACAGTCGGTCTAGAAGCCAGTTCCCAGCTTGTTGACTTCATCTTCCAGCTGCTCATCTCTCTGAAGGACAGGTCCAGACATGCCCACACGGAGGTCTTGAAGCTGGGCTTTCTAAGCCCTTCCTCTGTGAAGAGGACTCCTTGTAGGCCCCTAACCTGTTCCCCTCCACCTAGCGCTCTCACTTGCCTCCTACTCTGGAAGGCATCTCTCCTCCTTGGCATGGATTGGTCCTGCTCTTCTGCCAGGCAGCCGTCCTCATCGCTCTTTTTTTCTAGGCCCAGGACAGGGCTGGGGGCTCTCCCACCCACATGGCAGTATCCACTACAGGTCCGGCAGGTAGGCTGCCCCTGCGTCCCTGTGGGCAGTGAGCCCTGGGACTGGGGTAAGGGGGGGGGGGCAACAAGGGTCTCTTACCGAGAGGGGATCCATGGCTGCAGCCTCCTTTGCGGGCAGGGGCTGAAGGCCTGAACTCCCCGTCTGTCTCTCCCTTGACTGTGCCCAGCATTCTCTCACCCCACTCAAAGCTCCACCCTGAGTGAGCCCTCCCTTCCTTCTTTAGGACCAGCTGCTCTCTGCCTGTACCCCGGGGACAGGGGAACTTGTGGTTAGTACCACACGATGACACCTCCTGGGAAAAAGGGAGAGCGCATAATTCCTCAAAGCAGAATGTGGACCATCACAGGTCCAGGACCTCAGGGAGACACTGCAGCCCCAATGCCTCCTCACTGAACAGATGGGAGTGGGGTTTGCTCAAAGCCTCACAGCCAAGCCTAGAACCATCTTTTCCTTAGAAAGGAATCTCTCTGGTCCCTCTGACAGCCCTATGAGCAGCCACAGAGGACATTCCTGTTACTGAATGTCCATCTCAGACCCACAATAAATAAAGTTATAGAGCAGTCATCTGATTACACCTGGGCCAGACACCCATGAAGGATATAGAAGGTCAAGGTCATTAAAAAAAAAAAAAAAAAAAACTCGCTGTCAGTTTCATGCTCAAGACATTCATCTTCCAGAGAACATCATGGGACTTTATTATTTCCAGGCCACATTTTCCTTCTGACCAAGCCTCAGTTTTCCTTTCAGGAAAATGGGCAGGAGGATAAGTACCATTCACTGAGGGAAACACATTCGAGATAGTGTAGTGTCCTAAGGCCTTGGAGAGATCACCAATTCTACTAAAGAAGTTCCAAGGGGAAATTGTCCTTATGAGAATTGGGTACCATAGAGACAAAGCCTTGACAACCGGGAATGGGGAGCAAGCTGGGTCCAGAAGTGTCCTCAGGCAGGCAGAGTTCTGAGGTAACAGGGGAAGGGAGGGGAACCAACCCTTCTTAGCCACAAGAGACCCATTCCCCAGGCTCTGACATTAAGGGTCAACAGGACCTCGTGGCTCAGGCTGGACAAACTTCTCCACACATGCTGGCATGTTCTTCTATTTCTCTTGCTGAGAACCGTAACTCGCAAATAGGGCACTGGACCCAGGAAGGCGACGGTGAGCTCTCTGGGGAGGACACCCACAGCACAGATGGCGAGGAAGACGAGGAGGAGGAGGGAGAAGATGGCCGGGATGGGGAGCTGTCTCCACAAGTGGCAGCATGCAAAGGGAGAGTCTCGATGCTGAAGGAGCCTGAGGAGGAAGAAGGAGATCAATAAACGGGGCCTGTTCCCACAGCGAGATGCCGGAGGAGGAGCTGCCGCCGCTATGCAAATGCTTGTGAGGGAAGTCTCCCATGGCTGAGTACGCCACACCTGAGAGACACCATCACGGATCCGCCAAACATTCATCAGACATTTACTATGTGCCCGACAGTACGTTAGGTGCCGAGGGATATGGATGTCCTTACAGAATGTGGAGTCTACTGGAAAGGGCCAGTTATGAGCACAAAGAACATGGCCACCAGGCCTGGACAAATCAAAACTTGTTTGGTGTGTGTGCACCATTTGCACTTGTGGGAGCCAGAGGCTGACATTAGCTATCTTCCTGCTTCTCCATCTAATTTTTTGAGAGGGGGTATCCTGTTGTACCTGGAGCTCACTAGTTATCTAGCGTGATAACTCACTGGCCAGTGAGTCTGTGGACGCTGTCTATCCCTGGCCCTCCAGCCTGGGGTTGCAGACACGGGCCGCCACACCCAGCTTTTACGTGGGTGCTGGGGATGCAAACTCAGGTCCTTGGAGTTGAGTCTCAGGTGCTTTACCCACTGCGCCGCCTCCCCAGCTCTACCGAATGGTTCCGCCAGTACCCACAGCCCGCCTCCCGTCTTCCGGACGAACGTCCCGTCTTTGGGCCCACAGTAGTCATACAGCTCACCTGTGCAGATGGGACACTGTCCAGTTGCCTGCACACCTTCGTCGTTCTTGGTCTGAGGTCGGTGCCGCCTCGGCCTTGTTCTTGCTGCCCGCCTCCTATCTGGCTGAGAACTTGAGGTGGACAACGGTCTGTGGGAAAGAACAGTTTAAGGCCAGCTAGCTGGGAGAGACCGAAGGCTGAAGAACACAGAATCCAGACCAGAAGCATGGAGAAGAGACCGGAAACAGCAACCCCGTCAGTCCTTGATTTTCCACTTGCTAGGACGGACTAGAGGAAGGCAGTTAACCTTTGAGCATCTGACAACAGGGTTTCTATCACTGTCCTCTGTTTTTTAAAAGTTAACTAGTTTTGAGATAGGGTCTTAGTATACAGTCCTGCATGGCCCAGAACTTGCTATGTAGACCAGGCTTTCCCAGAACTCAGAGCTCTGCCTATCTCTGCCTTCCAACACCTGGGATTAAAGGTATATGCCATCATGCCTGGTAGTTTTTTAATTTTAAAATTGATATTATGTACATAACATAAAATTAGCCTTTGGAAGTATAGATTAAGGATACTTCCAAGCTGAGTAACTACAGTTACTTTCACACCATTTTTATCAACTCCCGCTTTTCTGTGTGTCCCCAGACCCCAGCAACTGCTCATTTCAGGCTGGCCTGAAGCCTGCTGTGCATCCCAGCAGTCCTTGCAGTCACACTCGCACTCTTCCTGCCCTGGTCTCCTGCGAGGACCACAGGCCTGAGACGTCCGACTCACATTAGATCAGATGCCATCTACACACCTTCTCATTCTGGTTCACGGCGGGGCCAATTTCTGCCTATCTCCACGTGTGAAGACATCAGGACAAGGACAATCTTTCTCCGTGTAGTCTAAGAGATCAAGACCCAGACTGCCCGGGCTTGACTGAAGCCATAGTGAGGAGGGGTTCGGAGATCCCGAGGTCTGGAGGTGATGGCAGCCTGCCTACCTTTGGTCCTGCAATTTCCTTCTCTTCCTTCTGCCCACATCATTCTTCCTGTTTTGTTCTTCTGCTCTGGGCTCTGTATGAGAAACGCTCATTAGTTATTTATCGTCACACCAGACAAGGTGGCACACGCCTATAATCCCAGAACTCAGGAAGCCAAGACTGCAGGACAGCAAGTTCAAGACCAACTTGGGATGAATAATGAGATCTTTTCGTGAAAAACAAAAATCAAAACAAACTATCTAGCTGTTTACACATGGCTTCCACATTTTAAGTTTTCTTTTGAGGTATTTTTTCTATCTTCTTTGCCTGCTTAATTCCAGCCTGAGAATTCCCTAGATTCTCTGACTGGAACCTTGTCATCCTACCGTCTGTTCTTTCAGAGTATTTATCACAGTTTAGTTTTAGATTTCAGGGGTGACACAGACACCCACCTCTTCATTAAGATATGAGCATTGCTATTTTATTTATTCTAGGATCTCTGGCACCACACAGACTAGCACATACAGATATTCAATATATACACGTCAAATGAGCAGTAACAAAAACCAACAGTCACCATTTACCTCTTTATTCACAATTTCAGAAACTCTTGGTATAGCACTAAATGTATTTCAAAGTGCTTACACAATCTTAGTACCTTATCAATAGTAGATATCCCTAAATGCGTAGTTTCTTTTCAGCCTCTTCTCAAGACCATAAGCCTTTATCCTTATAGACTCTGAGACTCCCATTACCTACTGCCTGTTTGTATTGAGGGCCCTCTGAGTGTCCGTGGTATCTATGGCAAATGGCACAGTATCTGTGAATAGGTTGCAAAAAGCCATGACTTCACTAGGATGTGGTGGTGCACACCTTTAATCCCAGCACTTGGGAGGCAGAGGCAGGTAGATATCTGTTAGTTCCAGGCTAAGAGTTACTCCCTTGTCTCAAGGGAGTAAACACACACACACACACACTTCTGACTCTCACTCCTTCCCCTGCTACACCGTGAGATACTGACTCACCAGCCTCCTTGAATGAGCTGGAATAGCATCCTTTCCAGAAGAGCCCTGAGATGCCTGCAGCCATTTCTCTCTCTTTTCTTTTCTGAGACAGGGTCTCAGGTTGCTCAGGCTGGCTGGGAGCTAGCTCTCCATGTACTGAGAATGAATGACCTTGACTACTGATCCCTCTGCCTCCTCCACTCCCCAAGTGCTGGGATGGAGGCATTTACTAGCCCTGTCTTTCTGAGACAATCACAGAACACTGAGATTGTAATAAGCTAAGGTATTATTTGGTTTAGCCCCTTTCCTATAAAGGTGAGGGAGCTGAAGCAAAGACAAGGATTCCTGATTCCTAGGCCAGTGTTCTTTCAACTATTATATAAGATTTAACTTCTCTTCTTCCCTGACTATTTTTCTCCTTGAAGACAGTGAGCCATCCCAGTACAGCAGGGAAGGGTCAGGGAGGGAGGGCAGTGTCAGGCACAGAAGGAACAGATCCTGGGGCCTCACCTGCACTCTGTGGATGACTGGGACCTGGTTCCCCATGGCCGTTCTTTGGGCTCACCACCCCGG